AATTCAGCAATAATATTTTTTTCAGAAATTTACATATACCGCGCCAAATTCCTATGCATTTACGTATCTCACACCCAAAATCTGATTTTAACAAAATCAGCACCCTACATGTGGATTTCACTGTTGGGGAGTGGTGAAACGGGTAAGTTGCGTGCTTGGTTTGTGAAATGAGAGTTTGGGTGTGAGAGGTAAAATCATAAGAATTGGGTGCTGTCTGTAAATTCCCCAATTTTATTTTCCGTTGTTATTTGGTTATACTCCAGTATCACTCACAATAAGTCATATTACACTATAGTGTGATGAAGTGGTATTGCCTCCTACCAAAAGGGCGATTTTGGTGTTTGACTCCTTAAAAAAGTCACCTCATTATTTACTGGAATCATGTTACAATAGGTTTCATGATTTTGTATAAAGATGCAAAATGCGAGTCCTTCCTTCCAATCAGCATCAGTCGTCTTATCTTGAAGTAATATTGCGCATATGATCATTCCCAACACTTTTATGATAATTGAGTGTATTTTTATGAGTATATTTATGATCATCCCATTCATCACCATCCAAAATCATCTCATGACAGTTCATAGCATAGGTCAATTTCTCAGACTCCAAAAATTTGTACACTTGTGTTATTTCTATAACTTCAGTCACATGCGCCAACTGCACTCGTAAACAGTGAGTTCATCCCACCTACTCGACTGAGTAACTTTAGACGAGCAAATTACTCTAGTTTTTAAAAAAGTTTAAATTTTAGATCCTAAATCGAACCGAACTGAACCGAACCAAACAAGTATATGATTTATTATATTTGGTTTCAAAAATGCATTTTGATTTTTTATTTTTAAAACCTTAATATTTGTTTTTCAGTTATTTGTTCAGTTTTAATTTAATGGAACAGACTGAAAAACCAAAAATATGAAATTAAATGGAGAATTCAGGAAGATAAATTTATCTTTTGCATGCAAGATTTATAATTCTTAATGTTTGTTCTTAACCAAACTCCCAATTAACAACTAAATCTCAGTTTGTTCATAATCAAGCCATTTAAATTGAATTAAATTTTGGCTCATTTGGTTCAGTTTTTTTACAATTTTTATTAGTTCAGTTTATGGGATTGTGGTTGTAATAGATTTGACCAATTTGAAAGTTGATTCATCCAAAACGACCAAATTGTCACCCCCAGTTAAGTGCGATGAACAAGGAAGACACCAAGTAAAAAATGAATGTAAACAAAACAACAAACACAATGTTTATTATAATATTAGAAAAGTTGTTATGCTTAAGAGAGAATTCAAAGACAAGTATTGCTAGAAGGGTGCTATGAACAAGTTGTCAACTCTTGGCATTCTGTTCTCTTGAAGTATTCTGTGCTGCTTTGTCGTGTTTGGAGATCTCCAAGATTCATTGCATGGACGAGGCAACCGAAGAGTTATTTCATTGAGGATTCAGAGAGGATTGTGGAGTTGTGAGATGACTCGGTGTAATGCAGAGTAGATTAATGCTTATTTTGAGTAGGATATTGAGCTAAAACTTGAAATACTTCGCTCTATCAGTAATTGCATTATTATTTTTGCTAGCCATATTTGTTTCAAACAAATAATATTTGCATGTTAAATTTTTTCTAATCCCCGTTTTTTGCAGGATCAAATGCTGAGGAGAGGCTGCAAGAAGATTGGAATCCTTAAGGATGAGAGAAGCTATGCATATTATAAGTTAAATCCAACTTCAATAGGTCATTTACCTAAAACTTTATATTTTGTCCTATGTTCGTCTATTGGTTACTTTGTGCTATAGATTGCCTCGCCCTTTTGTCTAATTGTATTTTCAAGTCCATTATTTATTTAGAAGGAAGATTTACATACATACCTCTCAATTCTCATGTGTTTACATATCTAACACCTAAACGTCAATTTTTACATACAGGCCACCTTACCTATGCATGAAAAGTTGTATTTCACTTTTTAACAGTTGAAATGGTGGTATTTTTTAGGTGATTTGAAAGATTTGGGTGGTATGTATGTAACAAGAATATTTTAGATGTTAGATATATAAATACATAGGAATTTGGTGGTATGTATGTAAATTTCCCTTTGTAGAATTATCATCAGCAACCATTTTTTTTTTCTTAATGGACCAGGTCATTATTTAGGAATGGACATCCATGATTGTGCTTCTATAAGCAACAATCGGCCCCTGCAACCAGGTGTTGTAAGTAAACTAATTATTAAATAAAAATCTAATGTTTGTGCTGGCTCAAATCATGGGTTTATTAGATGAATAAATATCCAATATCTCTGTGTTATTTTATTGCGAATATTTTAAATTTTTAATATATTTTTGCTGCCATTTTTTTCTATAAACATGGTGGTCATGGTCTTTATGCAAATTAGAAGAATTGAGGGTATAATTCTCTACAATCAACCTATTGTGAAGGGACATTTACATTCATACCCTAAACTTATTAGAAAATAGACAAAATCCGCAAATAAGCTGTAACATAAACTATGGAAATTGCAGGTTATAACAATTGAGCCAGGACTTTACATCCCCGTCTCCTTCAATGCGCCAGAGAGGTGTGTTCAGCTGAAACTGTCATTTTAATATTTCACATAACTCCAATGTTGGTTTGTGCTATTTTATGCTAACTGACACTCTTGAAATGCACAGATTTCGAGGCGTCGGCATTAGAATTGAGGATGAAGTTCTGATTTCTGAAACTGGTTGTGAGGTTAACTTCTTCTCAGAATTTAATGTTCTTTTTCTTATGAAAATTCCAATTCCCATGTATTATACTTGTCTAACATCTATACTCTGCCTCACTTAACTATTTCATATCACATAAAAAATGCCATCATTTTAACACTAGAAAGTGAAATACATCTTTTAATGCATGGGTAAGGTATTATGTATATAAAAAATGGAAGTTTAGGTGTTAGATATGTAAATACTTGGTAATTGAGTGGTATGCATGTAAATCTTCCAAATTTTATTTATTCAGCAGCCAGTCTGATAAAACCGTTTCTCTAAATGCTAAGCTGGTGCTGCTTGATTAAATAAAATAAAAAAGCAGCATAAACCCCTCACTTTTTATATATTTATATATCTAACACCTGAATTTTACTTTTTTATATTCATATCACTTAAAAAGTATCACTGTATTAAATTTTAATTTTAAATAGTGAAATACACTTTTTCATGCACAAGCTGGCATGTATATATATATATGTATCTATATATATATAATTTAAGCTGACATAATTTTGTTTGAATTATGAGCAGGTGCTGACTGCATCAATGCCAAAAGAGATTTCACATATCAAATCTTTGCTGAATTTTGATAGTATTACTTCAGATATACCATGCTTGAGAGCAGCTCTCACTTGAGGTTAGATTGTATATTTGGACAAGTATATTTTTTGCGCTGCTTGATTAGTGTAAGTTGGCACTGTACTGATTCTTATGATTTAAATTACATAATACTGATAAAGGTGTAAATATATTACAAAAATAAAGGGATAATTACATATAAACCACCCAAATTATTGATATTTATAAATTAATTAATGTATTGATAATTACATAATACTGATTCCTACGTTGTTCCACGATCGGGATATTAAGAATTTGATAAAAATGAAAAAGTATGGGTTCGGGTTTTACCATGAATTTTGATATTTGAGTGAAAATTTGAAAAATGGACGAACAAATATGATTGATTTGCAAATAGCAAATTTTGGGTGATCACTCTAATATCCAAAATCCCAAATAAATAAGTGATTTTAGCCATTAATGTTTCATGCCATATTCCACACAGACAAGGAACACAAGTGCAAGAAGGTTGGAAGGCATGTCATGAAATATCACCAATTATATTCAAAAGTATAAACCAAGAAACAAAATATAAAACTATCGCATGATGAATCATGGAAAGAATTAGCAAAAATTTATATATAGAAGATGCACAAAATAATTCTAAAGCCTGTCAACAAGTATTCTCCTCTTAAGAAAATAATAACTTTATGCCAAATAAGCTACCCAAGGAAAAAAAATTTTAAAAATTACATAAGCCTAGAATATGCGACTATTTTTCACTGTTGTGAAAAAACGACGGAAATAAAGTAAAAAATAGAAAGAGTAAAATTGCACACAGAGAAAAAGCATCAGAGCGACATAGATTTATGTGGTTCGGCAAATTTGTGTATGTCCACGGAGCTTCAGAGAATTTTATTTCTTCAAAGAATTATACCGTCGAGCGACTCGACGTTGTTTTTTCACAACAACTGGTATCAGAGCGGTAGGTGGGATGCTTAATTAAAAAGGTAATTAAATTCGGTGGATCGGGTCTCCACATTACCCAATATTTCATTACAGTGCACTTAATAAAGAATTTTTTTAGATATTGAGGCCATCATCAAGAAAATCAACAATCTTCAAAGACTAGTAAAAAATAAATAAATAAATATAAGACCAAAAAAAAAAATATAAAACCAAAAAAAAAAGATTCTTGAAACGAGAATAAGAAAGGCAAAAATATAAATGATTTGAACTGATCACTATCTCAATGCATTGGAAATTCATTGGAGAAGATGTTGGATTTGTTCAATATATTGAATGAAAAATTAATTTCAGTTGCAAATCACTTCAAGCTATTTAAAAACCAATAATCAAAGGTGGAGAAATAGAAAACAGTAAATAGCTAAAATCCCATAAGTTTCAAAAAGTGACTTGTATATGTATGCAATTGCCCATACAATGAGACATCACACATGCTGAGGGAGCTGTTTTTCAGTGCATGCCAGCCCCAAAAAAAAGAAACACTAACAAATTATTAACTCGCCAAAAAGATAAGCAAGCAAGCCAAACACGAACAATTCATCAAAGATAGCAACAAGATGATTAACAAAAAAAGCTTTCTAGAAGAGAACTGAACTGATCACAAGATGTTTCTCTATTATGTACTAGCCACATTAACAATCACCGGCAAAGAATGCTACCTTCGATTCCGAATAACTGTTAAAAAACTTGTCAAAATCAAAAAAGAAGAAATCAAGACAATATGCTCACAAAATAAATGCTGAACTAAAAAGATGTAGCTTCACAAAACATCGATGAATCTCCTTTAATAATGATATGGAGTCTGCATACAAAGAGATTTTCATACATTGATCACTAAAAAAGCAAATAAATTTTATCTCTAAATCTCACGGATCCGGCCCCGGAGCTTGGAATTGCCAATACGGGAACGACAGTCAGACGGAAGAAACTATCTAGATATTTTTATTTCATAATTAAATATATTGCAAAACACAAAAGAATCATTCTATTTCATTAAACTTTGATTTAAAAATTTAAAATTGAAATGCAATACCTATCAATTTGACCTCCGCGACATTTGTACACATACCTCTATTATATAGCGGATTTTCATGAAAATGTTAGCAGCTAAAAGTGGCCAATATAACTCTTCTCTATCAAGGGCTGCTATCAATGATCTTTCTATCATCCTTAATTAGGGTTGTCAAAAAAGCTCATCATTTGCAAAAAGCTCATGTTCGGCTCGTTAAATAGCTCATATTCGATTCGTTCGATAAACAAGGACGCCAAACATGAATAATTTTTTTTTAGCATGATTTATAAACGAGTCAAACACAAAAAAAAGCATGGTGATCTAAAGACTTGGAACCAATGTTAAAATTATGCAATATGAGACGTGCCTTGAGGCTTGCCCAAACGTAATTTCAAATAAAAATGTTGAGGCGTACACCTCGAGTAGCTCAAGCGAGTTGCACGCCTGACATTGGTTTAGGCACCCCTCGTCTCAATTCTATTGAGGCATGAGCCTCTCACCTCTAGATTCTTTTTCCCTTATATATTAGATGGTTCGAATACGAATTGAAGCCAAACTCTCATGTGTAAGAGCTCCCTACTCCCAAATAAAGCTTCTCAACAGCATCGCACGTTGCTTGCTACCACTGCCACCAATTTTTATTAATAACTGCATGCCACTCTGTTGCCGCCACCGCCAAGATGCCAGATGCTTCTGCTGCCCTTGCCCCCAGCTGCTCCTGCTATTGCCACTGTCGCCTGCTACTTCAACTTTTGATTATATAAATATAAATTATGATGCCAATGTATTATTTTTATTTTATTATTTTGACTTACACAATTTTCAAACAAAGAGGCTTGCGGATAAGATTGCCTCGAGGGGCGGGAGCATTTTCTGTCCGGACATCTGACGTACCTCTACGTGTGGTGCATGTTATTCTTGAGTTATTTTCAGGTTATTTCTGAGTTATTTTCAATAATCCTGAAAAAAACCCAGAAATAACACAAAAATAAAGACCGTGGGTTATTTCTGGGTTATTTCGGGATTATTGAAAATGATCCAAAAATAACCTAAAAATAACTTCAGAAATAACCTGAAATGAAAATAACCCAGAAATATCATGCGCCGCAGGTAGAGGTACGTTAGGAGTCCGCACAAAAAAAATTTTGGCCTCGAGGTGTACGCCTGCCTCACGAATGGAAAACGTGTAAATACCTAATTGCTAAGTTCTTAAACACTACTTGGAATAACTTCATAATTTTTTCTATCGATGTTGTTCCACTAGCACAGGTACAAGTCTATGAATGTTGAATCAATTGCATCCATGTGGGCGCTAGCACTACTGTATTGCGTAAGGGTGTAAATGAGTCGAGCTTGAGCCACCCTTTGCTAGAGATTGATTAATTTTATCGAGTTCGAGTTTGAGCTGTAGCTTAAATCTACAAGTTTGAGCCTGCTCGTGATATTAATCGAAGCTATATTTATAATGAGATGTCAATTAGAATGGTAATTAAGAGATAAATAATAAGAAAACACCGTATATACAATAGTAAATATTATTTTTTAAATATTTTTAATACCTTAAAGACAATTTATTAAAATTTTAAATATTTTGATTATATTTTATATCAATATTCATAAATGAGTCGGCTCACGAGCTAAAGGCTCGAGTCAGAGCTAGCTTGAGTCAGAGTTAGCTCATTGAGCTCAGTTCACAACCCACGCTCAAGCCGGCTCACGAGTTGGCTTGACTCATTACACCCCTAGTGTAAGGGCTTGGTATGTGTGGGAGACACAAGATGTCGCCTTTCAGCAAATCTCGCCACCCTAATGTTCACATCTTCCCTCGCATTTACATTCATTGCCTTGAGATACCAAAATTATATAATCATTACCACGATTATTAGAAATGTAATCTCACTCTCTTAATGATAATTAATGATTCTCCTAAAGGCTATTTTATGATTATGTTCCTACTAGCGCTATGCTTGGGTTGGACTCTAACTCTTGACATGACCTAGCTCATGAGCTTGGAATTACTAAGGCTGAAAAGGACGACCAGACAAAGAAGACACATAATTAAATCTAATCCAAAATAATAAAGAATTATTTCATTTCTCAAAACTTTAATTTACAAACAATTCATATAAATTTTAAACTATTACAACAAATAGAAATTAAAACTATACCTATCAGTCTGAGTTCATTGACGTTTGTACGCATACTCTCTAGGATTCATATATTTTGTAATAGGTTTTTCTAAAAATATTAGCAGTTGAAGGTGCGAGTTAAATGTACAAAATTATAATAATTCACATTTTAAAATATTCGATTACTCAATGTGTAAAATATTTCAAAATTATAATAATTCACATTTTAAAATATTCGATAAAAACACGATACGCAAAAAAAAAAAAAATCACGAGCGGCGAAAAAAAATGGTAAAGAAATCAATTTTCAGCTACTTTTATTCATTTTAATTGCAATATTTGTGAGTGAAAGTCAACATCTAAAAGTATGCTAAGAGTATACATTTAATCTTTTTAAAGCAAACCAAAAAAGTAAGCAATCATTTCCCCTTCTATTTTCAATTACATTTTACGTGCACGAGTATATTATATCATCTACTAGTATCATCTGAGGGTGACTCAACATAGCATGCACATATCATTTTTTTTAATTTGACATTAAACAAAATAAAATTTTTCTTTCTAAAAGAAATGCTAAAAACAATTGATATTGCTTTCATAAATAAAAAGAAATATTGCAAAATAAAAATATATTTACCAATCTGTTCAATGCAGTCTATTGCATTTTCATTAGATGAAACTAGTCATTTGGCTCGCCTACAATAACAATCTAATTGTGATTAGCTTCACTTCATTCTCTTAATCCTTCTTTCATATTAGTTCTAACCTCACTATATTATTATTATTATTATTATTAATTAGACAAATTCATTTGTAATTTATCTACTTAATTGGCTACATTTAAAGTATCCAATTAAATATTTTAACCTATGACGTTTGATCTGAAGTTATGTCATTCATTGGTATTAATACATGGGTTAATTTATCATTAGTTAGTTAATCACTTTTCAGCTTTTTGATTAGAAACTTCCCTCACGTTTCTTTTAGTGTTTTTAGTGGATTAAAGTTAAGTGTGTTATAATGGATAATTTAAACCTAGGGTTTTAAGAAATTATTTTACTACTAAGAAATTGGATATTAACTTTTGAAATTGAACTTTATACCTCAAAATTCTCTTTCATGATTTTATCTCCTCTCAACCATAAACAAATTTAATAAAACATGTAAGATTTCAGTCTTATGGATCCTAAAACTTCACCAAACTTTTAACAAAAATCAAAATTACAATAACTTTAAATTTTGAATCGCGAAGCTCACCTAAAGTTGCAAACTTACCCAAAATCTTCATTGGCTTGCCTTATTTTTGCAAATTGAGCATGTAAGGGCTCGGTCTGAGCTTTACTCGACTGCTGAAAAATGCCACACACATATGAGACACTACGGAAGATGCCGCTTGACTTCCCCCTTTCTTGTTCGCAGATGCTCGCAATTAAATGCATCTACACAGAAAAGCCTTGCTTGCACCACTCGTTAGACTAGGAGAATGAGGAGCTCGAGCTTCTCTTGAGCGTCGAAAGTGACACTAGAATGAAAAGGAGTTGCTCGACCGCTCAAATCTTTCCATTCCTTGTGCGCGGCTCACGACAATCAACAGAGTTGCTTGTCTACTCATTTTTCTTCTTTGATTAGGACACAAGCTTCTTCCTCGCTTCTTATTGTTCCCCCTTTTCGTCTCTCAATTTGGCTCTCCTTTGTGTCGTTGTTTGTTATGCTCTCTCTCTCGATCTCAATCCTTTGTCTCTCTCTCTCAAGTTAGTCTCGGTTCGAAATGGAGGAAATCCTCGTATTAAATCTCTCAGATTTCCTCGATTGACACCTGTAGTGGCCATCTTAAGCAGGTAATTCATTTCATTGTTTTTATAGTTAAGTTAATTAAAATTTTTAAAAGATAGTCATCACAAAATAGGAGATTGCTAGGATAAGAAAATCAAATTATTTTTATCTATATTATACTAACCCCTACCTAACTCATATATATTTAATACATTATCACCCTCCACCTAAAATCTACATTATGATTTTTACAACCATCAATCTAATAAATTCAAACATACTATTTACCACCTTCAAGCATTATATAGTAATTGCACAATTGAAGCATCCCACAATAAAAGAAGAATAATGGGAAGAGACGGAATAGAGGAATAAGCTTTCAACCATGAATCGGAAAAGCTCTTGAACTAGATGATCACAACATGCATAGCGCACAATTATTAAGATGAGCAACTATAACATCATCCTTTCTTTGCAAAAGTATTAGTTATCAAAGACAAGCTAATGGAGGCATGAATAGAGATCCATCAATAGATGATCAAAACAGGTAAATCAAAGGGATTAAACTGCAGAAGCAGTACTTGTCACATTGTGCAAAGAATGATTGTTCTGTTAACTTCGCTAATTTTAAATATGGGTGATTAACATACATAGCGCACAATTATTATGCATTTACACATCTCACACCTAAACTTCCTCTTATTTACATACACAACACTTTGATACTTTAAACCTACGCATGAAAATGTGTATTTAACTTTAAAAAAAGGGTGGGTAATAGTGCTATATTTGATGTGATAATAAAGATTTGAGTACCATGTGTGTGACGATTGTAAATACATATGAATTGTGTGCCATGCATTTAAATGTCCCCAACAGAGCTATCTCAAGTATTAGTTGCCCCAATGGTCACCTCATTTTAGTAAACAACAATATAAGACGAGGCCAATTACCTTAAAGTCTGCTGATGGGATTACTTATCTATGTGTTGGCTGCCGTTGTCGAACTCAGCTTGAAAGAACCATCTAAATATGAACCCCTCACCATACTCTATTTGTCAAAATGAATAGGCAGTATTTTCTTTCTAAAAATTTGGAAGATTTGCATACAAACCACTCAATTCCAATAAATTTCCACATCTAATATGTCACCTTACCTATACAAGAAATGTTGTAATTCACTTTCAAAAAAAAAATAATAGTATTTTTTATTTGAATTGCATAAATATAAAAAGTAAAGTTTAGATGTTGACATGTAAATACATAGAAATTGGATGGTAGGTATGAGTATGCTTCTAAAAATTATTCTAAGGATTGAAGCCTGGTATGATAATCAAGCCAATAAATAAGCACGTCATATCATATACTAAAATGTATGACAAATAAAACAGCTCAGCTTCACACAAGCTATATATGTGTGTGTGTGCGTGTGTGTGTGTGTGTGTGTGTGTGTGTGAGTTATAAAAACAACAAAATTAAAGAAGATAAATGGTGTTTAAAACAGACGGGAAGAACAATCATTATGATTGGATAATTGCTTAACACACTTTTTTAAAACAGTCCTGGTATTAAATATAATTTACAGACTCAGTCAGTCTCAACAGCGTCATACGAAAACGGTAAAATAATGCAAGCAGAAAATGTAAATGTAAACCTTAATTTGTTCTTTAAACAAGCAGTATCTAGATCTATAGCATAAATTAGATAGAATTTCAAAGATAGAGCAGAATACAAATGCCATAATTTCATGCAACACAAAGTTATGTAGATCTCTTGTTCTACTAAAAGTTTATATAGCTCTTTAGTAGAGCAGAGAATGTATATATGAGCTTTACTTATTTCCTGTTCTTACTGTCTTGTTTGTCTTTCTCACGCTTATTGTACAGCCTCTCCAGTACTCGCTTTGCCTCACATGAGGGGAAGTTGCTGAGGTCGTAGTAGTGTGGAGCTATGTCTATTAACCTGAATATGATACCAAAATTAGTAGCATATAAGAAAATATAGGGATTCATAAATAAATTTTCCAACTCATTAAGCTAATAAAAATATAAAAATGATACCAAAATATTAAATTGAAGTATTTGGGTTCCATTTATGAGATAAAATATGAGCATAGCTACCAAGTAATTCATTAGAAGTTACATAAGGGGGCATTTACATGCATACCACCCAATTCCTACGTTTTTGCATATCTAACATGTAAAGTTTACTTTTCACACTTGCCCCGCCCGAATGTTTCATATCACATAAAAAAAACCAATATATTGACTTTTAAAAAGTGAAATACACCTTTCATGTATGGGTAAGTAGTATATATGTAAAGTTTACGTATTAGATATTTAAATACATAAGACTTGAGTGCTAAGTATGCAAATCATCCTCGAAAAAATCTATAAACTTGCCGTTCTTGAAAAAGAAGATATAGAAATTCAAGGGAGCATTATAAAGAACTTGAAATTACAAAATTTTGTATCTCTATGCCAAATAATCAACACTCATATTTACAACTTGTCCATATTTAGGTTGTCGAGCTCTTTGTAAAAGGCATTGTTAGGCTATTGAAGAAAAAGTTCTTTTTTTTTTAAATCTGTCATGAGTATTACAAATATTTACTCTTTTGAAAGAATAAAAAAACAACATTTTTACAACTACCACACACTAGCAGATCCGGTTGTAAAGAGATGTTCGAAAAGCACTGAGAAAGCAATTGCAAAATGAAAATATGCCAGATGTCAGAATTACCATGATCTATAAAAATTTGTAAAAATATTAATCATAGAATTAAATGGTAAAGGATAAATCTAACTTTTCTTTTATTGCAAACTTGTTGAAATTGGAACCTCACCATTTATATTATATGGTTAATATTTGTTGTGATTCAACCAACATCATTCGCACAATTAAAGAAAAAATCATTAAATCAACAAGCTATTTCATACCACTCGCCACGAATATCTGTGACTGTGCGAATAAAGTTCCTGCTGGTTAAAACGTATTCATTGTAGATTACCCATTCAGGCTTGTGATCCAAGCAGTTTGAAGGATGAAGATGAACAACCTGCAATGAAACCAAAAAAAAATCATGGCAATATGATCAAGAAATAGAAGTTCATTAATGAGAGCTGGTACTTAAAACAATATAGGAATGTTTGCATACATACCACTCAATTGCTAGCATTCACATATGTAGCACTTAAATTTCAATTTTTACATGCATACCACCTTACCTATGCACAAATATCTGTATTCTTGGTGTTATTTTTAAGATATATGGAAGATTTGGGTGCCATAAATGTAAAAGACAAAATTTAGGTGTTAGATACATAAATACATAGGAATTATTATGCATGTAAATGCCCCAAAAAAAACAATATACCTGATTATCCTTCACTGTCAAGTAATGCCCAGTTCTTTCCAGATGAGCTACCTGCATAAAGTATCCTGAAAGCAATGCTTTTCTTATGCTTACATAATAATCACGGCTGTTGAAATCCGTGCTGCAAAGCTTGAGGTTGAATCTCGCCATAATACGCACTAGTTGCTGCCTCACATTGTCCGCAGCCTTCAGAGCCCTTTGGTTTATAAAGTTATCAAAACACCAAGAAGGATCTTCATCTGCAATAAATGCAGTCGCTTGGTTAGAAAAAGCTAAAAAAAATAAAAAATATAACAAAAGAGAAAATTTGCATACATACCACAGAATTCTTATATATTTACATATCAAACACTTAAATATGTTATTTACATGCATAACACTCAAACCTTTAACATCGCATGAACAATACCACTTACTAAATTTTTAGAAGTAGAATACAGCTTTTCATGCATATGTTTATAATACCAATGTGCTATAAATGTAAATATGATATGTACATATATAACACTCAAATCTTTAACACCATATCAAAAAAACCACTTACCAACTTTTCAGAAGTAAAATACAGCTTTTCATGCAAAGGAATAATACCAATGTGTTATAAATGTAATATCAAACTCTAGATGTTTGAAACGTAAAGACATAAGAATTGTGCAGTACGTATGTACATTTCCCAAAAGGGGCCTTTACATACCAATCACTCGATTCTTATGAATATACACATCTAACACCTAAACTTTAATTTTTACATTTATACCACCCCAAATCTTTCACATCACATAAAACATAACACCATCTTAACTTTTAAAATGTAAAATACATCTTTTCATGCATTGGTAAGATGTCATATATGTAAAAATTATAGTACAAGTAAATACAAAGTACTCAACGGTAAGTAACTGTTCAAATAAATAAATCTAATTTGGTGCATTTACATAGCACACAATTCTTATGTATTTATATATCTCACACCTAAACTTTCATATTTACACAAATTGCACTCAAATCTTTAATATCACATAAAAAATAGCACTATAGCCACCTTTTAAAAGTGAAATCCACATTTTCAAGAATAGGTTTAAAACACCAAAGTGTTATGTATGTAAATATAAAAATTTAGCTGTCAGATATGTAAATAAATAAAAATAGTGTGCTACATAAATTCCCAAAAAAGGGAAGAATATCATATATACCACTCGATTCTTTTGTATTTATATATCTAACACCTGAACTTCAATTTTTACATACATGCCACCTTCCTTAAAATTGTGATATTTTTATGTGATGTCAAATATTTTAGTGGCATATATGTAAAATTTAAAGTTCAAGTGGAAGACATGTAAATACCTAAGAATTGAGTGATATGTAAGTAAATTTCCAAGAAATAAAACTAGCTCGGCAGGCAAAAAAAAGAAAACAACATAATGGGAGATGATTAACTCAACTGTTTTGCTTGTAGGCGTGATAAACGTTTAGAAGAGTAAGGTGATCTCCGTCGATGTGGCCAAACCGAGCTTTTGCTTCATCAGCAGCTTTTTGAGCTTCCCTAGGCCGCACAAAGCAATTGGGTACTATATAAAGAATTGTTATCACAGAGCAGAGGCCCATAGTAGAGGTCAGCAGATGCATACAGGCGAGACCAACACTGCTTCATAAGAAAATAACTGAGAAACTGCAACTCTATTCATCAGCACATACTCCGAAAAACCCTATGGGTATATCGACCAACAGTCATTTAGGGACATTTAGGAACATACCACACAATTCTTATGTATTTACATATCCGACACCTAAACATTCATATATATACATGCATACCACTCAAATCTTTAACATCACATCAAAAATACACTTATCACTATCTTTTTAAAAGTGAAATACACATCTTCATGCATTAGTTTATGACACCAAGGTGCTATATGTGTAAATATCAAACTCTGGGTGTTGGATATGAAAATACATAAGAATTGTGTGGTATGTATGTAAACTTCCCAATTATATAACTTCTTTGCCCGCTGAAATAGACAAAAGGTCGATATGTTGGAGGAAAGCATGGAGGGGAAGTGCTGGTAATATGCAACAAAAATCTAAGTAAATTAATGTCATTTGAAGATTCTAATTTGTACCGACATGGCACCAAATAAATTCCCATCGCATTAGATGAACTAAATTCTTTCTCATCATTATAGTGCTGTAATTGAACCCAATCAAGTGTCTCGTTCATTTATTTCATTATTGAGATCGAGTCGAGCATAAATATTAACCAAATTTTAAATTCTTGCTCGTGGTTAATTTTCTTAGCAAGTTCGAACATAATCAAACTTTAATCAAATGTAACTAATTACATAATTGTTGCTAGTAGTTAAACCTATAACCATGATGCTAGATATAAATAGATTAATAGATTTCAATCAAAATTGAAATATCCACCAGGTAGAATTAAAGTTGCATGAAAAGCTTAAAAATTTATAAGAAATTTGTTAATCTTCATCTTACTCTTACATAAAATAACATGCATAATTTTTAAACTATATAAAATATTAAAAAATGATCAAATAACATCAATTATTTCAACAAATAGGAAAAGAAGCCATCCTTAAATGAGTACTTCACTGAGTTTTTAAAAAACTATTTGTCAAATAATCAAGCACGATCGAAGCCTAAAATGAACAAGAGTATCAGCATTCAAACTTTTATTTAAAATTTTTTGTTCAAGCATAAAAAATTATGTCAAAAAAACAAACAAAAGAAAACCATATGCTGGCAAACACCAAACTATTCATAAATTGCATCAATATACTTAAAAGCCTACAAATCATTGAGGACTACCAAAAGAACAAAAAATTAGAATATAAAAGGTGGCACATACCAGATAGCATTGCCGAAACAGATAGAATTTCATTAGAACAATTAAACTCTGGGCTAACAACAAGCATCTTCGACATCTGCGGATCCAACGGAAATTCGCTCATGATTTCACCCAACTTCGTTAAGTTTCCATCGTCATCCAAAGCACCCAAGTAGTTCAAAACTTCCAAGGCACGCATCAGAGTCTCCGGTGCAGGCGGATCCATAAAATCAAAATGAACGAGATCATCGATGCCAAGTTTCTTCAATGTTAGAACAGTGTTCGCCAGATTCGATCTGAGAATTTCAGGATAGGTCTGCGGCTGTAGATCGTTGCTAAAACTTTTTTCAGTGTAGAGTCTAAAGCATTTCCCAGGTTGAGTTCTGCCGGCACGCCCTGATCTCTGATGAGCGCTCGCTTTTGAAATAGGAGAAACTAACAATGACTCGACACGAATTCGCGGGTTATAAACCTTTTGTTTTGAGAAACCGGGATCTATAACGTAAACTATGCCGTCTATAGTTAGAGAAGTCTCTGCAATGTTAGTCGATACAACGATCTTCCGTCCGGGCGGACCATCATCCTTTAGAGGAGCGGGAGCGGGCTCGAATATCTTTTGTTGCATTGCCGGAGGCAAAGTGGAATAGAGAGGGACTGCTTTAATAGGACCAACTTGATCACCCAAATTATTGACTTCCTTTGTAATTTTCCGACAGGCATCCTCAATCTCCTCCTCTCCGGTGAGGAAGACGAGAATGTCGCCAGGGGGTTCGCACATGTGAATCTGTACTACAGTCCTGATTGCGGCTTCCAAATAATCTCTCTCAGGATCTTGAGTATAAAATATCTCTACAGGATGGAGCCTTCCAGGTACCTTCATTAACGGAGCTCCATTAAAATATCCTTGAAATTTCTCAGCTTCAAGAGTCGCGCTCATGACGACTAATTTTAGATCGGGCCTATTTCTTAGAACCTCTTTAAGAAGACCGAAAAGAACATCAGTTGCCAAGGTTCTCTCATGAGCCTCATCAAGGATAATCACCTTATACCTCTCCAAAAGAGGGTCGGCCATTGCTTCTCTTAAAAGCATACCATCAGTTAGGTACCTGATTTAAGATAAACAAAATAATGTAATTTATTAATCACTTGAAAAAAGGAATTCAAAAAAGTGGTAAAAAGGCCAAGGGATTTGAAAAAACTTACTTCAAAATAGTTTTAGGGCTGCTGCAATCTTCGAATCGAATACTATAACCAACCTCTTCTCCGATTGTTACATCCATCTCCTCAGCAACCCGACGAGAAACAGACATTGCGGCCACTCTGCGAGGTTGCGTACAAGCGACCATCGGACGTTTTCCTAAGAATTCCGCTTCCAAAACAAATTGAGGGATCTGCTCAATCATAGCAGAATCTATCAGTACCCTGATCTAAGCTAGATGGTTGTAAAGACTGCACAGTTTCTCTACACAAATAGCTATTAAGAAACAAAGACAACTATCAAACTTATCATATGTACCAATCTGAAAATAGAAATATGTACATATTTACTTAACAATTCTTATGGATTTACATATATGACACCTAATGTTTAATATTTAAATTTATAACAACTTGGTGTTATAAATGTGTGTATAAAAAGAGCATTTGAATTTCAAAAAGTAAATAAAGTGGTATTTTTTATGTGGTATTAAAGATTTGAATGTTAGGAATGTAAATATTAAATTTTAATGGTTAGATATGTAAATAGATGAGAATTGTGCAGTATATATGTAAATGCCCTTGAAAATATGCTAGCACTAAATTGTCTCAACAATGATGAAAACCACTTGAAAAGAATACAACATACATAAAAGCATGCTCCATTAGATCCAGAGTTACAAAATTAACATAGCAACATAAGAATTAAAAAAAAAAATCACCATACTTCTAAATTATTAAGCGTAATTATAAAAATTAGATGTGGCTATAATCGAGCTTGAGAAACAAGCAATGTTGAATAAGTTGGACAGCGCATGCCTTGTATGCAAAAATACATAAAAACATAAAAATAAATATGTTACCTCAATATAAAGTTCATTTGTCTGAATGTCAAAAAAGTAATCAATTTAATCAAAGCAAAATAATTAAGGAGAATTCACAAATGTAAATACATAACAATTGTGTGCTGTGCATGTAAACGCCCCAATAATTAAATAATTACGATCAGCATGGGAAAGTTTAACCACTGCCTCGAAAAGCTGAATAGATAAGAAAACCGCAATTTTTGCTTCAGTTCAAACGCATCATCAACAGTAGGATTACACGAAGTTCAAATCAAGAATCATTTATAATTATAGCATAACTTTTATAAAATGTCTGTCAACAAAAAATCATCCATAAACCATTCTTATCCGGGCATTCAACTAGCAATTACAATTTTAGTGGAAAATATTGAAAACATTTGGAATGCATTACTAAAAAGAAAAATATGTCAAATTTATGTTAAAATTATTTAAGTCATGTTTACAGTGAATAAATAATAAAATATTAAAATTAGTTAATAAACAGCCAAAAAGATACGAATCAAAATAATACCAAGGATCATGGTTAATTGTACTGATCACGAAGATGCTCACAACGATAAACAAAAAATGGGATATATTGGTCTATGCTTTAATCAATTATCTTTCTAAAAGATGGCATCTCAACTAAAATAAGTGAAAAGTTCAAATAATCAAGAAATTAGGAAAAAAAACTTAACATTAAGTGAGAAAATATAAAATAAATGTCATGAAATTTTAATGAGCCATTATTATTAAATGTCAATATTTAAAAAGATAAATTAGCACCGAGATGTGATAGTTTTAAGTGTATCTATTACACACAATAATGTAGATATAAATGATTATATGACATCTAGAGTAAAGATTAGAAGCGAAGATGGAAAAATGTTTTGAAAGTGGATACAATTAAAAAAATAAAAGAATAGCATGGATATTTAAAGGAAAATCAGATGCAATTACATCAATTACAATGTATGAGTTTGATAATTTATAAAAGTCACGGATACTGCAATGTTTCCAAGAAAAAAAAAAGCATTCTCTTCTCAACTTTAATCTGTAAGCTTATCAAACTATGTTGTCAAAAGCATGGCAGCCCAGAAAATGCAACCTATGAAAGGAAACAAACAAAAAAGAATTAGAATAGGACAACAAGATAACATAGTAAATACTTTTGGAATTCGAAGTCACAAATTTATAATTTATTTTAATTGCAGTTTATGAAGCCTCATGTTTTCTTGTAATTGATTGTCCAATAATTCATTTATGATATTGTGTGCACTATATACTTTGTTCAAAATCATAAAGCAATATCCTCAAAGGTTTCACTATAACAACGACTACTCAACATAATATAACTAAGTCAATAATATAGGGCGTGTTTTAACCTCTAAAGCTGCGTATGACAATTTATGTTATCATAATGGATATTTCTTTACCCTTTAAACAATTTCTTTAGGATAAACCAAAGTTTAAATAATCACAATACTCATTTTTGTGATCAAGGTAATACAATTGAATCACTATAGAATAAAATTTCTATATATAACTCTTACATATCTATTGATAAAATCTTAGAAGCACAAGAAATGAAATCAGAACCAAGGGTGTACTCTCCAATCCCTTGAAAGTATTTTGTACATAAAGTAAGAACAACAAGTTAAATCATGAAAGAGGCCTACAAAAGGGCACGAATTTTATGTGGCTCCACTTCTCCTCAAACCTAGGTACACTCTCCAATCCCCCATTTAAGAATTCCATTAATTACCTTTGAAGACAGTAGAATCAAAAGTATTTTAAAAAACTATCACATCTCTCTACCTAGAGAGGCAAAACTAAAATTTTCTTGCTCAATGTCAACTCTTACACTTGATTTTTTTCTCAGGCTCAATGTCATCCTGTAAGACTTATCTCAATTTGAAGAACAACTCGTTAACAATTCAATTTTATAACAGCACTAAAGCTAGAGCACTCTAGCAAAAGTTACAAACAGCCAAAATCAAACAAAAGAATGCGACACTAGGAGCAATAATGCCAGTTATTTAGTCAAGCAGAAAAAACATATTATCAAAATCTAAGAACGAAAATGAAAGAATCTAAGTAGACGCTTGCTTGCTGTACATAAGGAACTTATCAAAACCTATCAAAACCTAGGATAAATGAATTTGAGAATTTGAAGGGGCATGGAATGGGATTTGAAGACAAGAAAGCCGTAAGGAATAAAATGCAATAAGGAACTTATCAAAACCTAGGATAAACTTAGATTATCTAGAATTTGAGGAGTTGATTTGCTTATGGAGGTATTTATAGATTATAAAAGATTTAAAATGAGCCAAAAACACAACGAAGGAGTCGTTGAATCCAATATCAATTTATTGCCATTAGTTTTGATGTCACTAAAAAAAACCACGGCCATACACAAATCGCGATGGACTTTGAATGAGACCTTCAAAAGTCAAATTCAAGATAATCTGAGTTCCAATTTATGTAAATTTATAGTTAACTGAACATCTTGATACTACATAGCAGCCTTAGATGTGATTTGATTTGAGTTCAAATGAGAATTAGATCAAGCACTTGAGTAAGATTAAAAATTCATAGCATTAATTGAAAAAATCATTGTCCCATTTGTTGGGTTCCTACAACTATTTCTTATTGTCACAAACACGTCATAATTGTTGTGGTTGAGACATCCTACCAATAGGAATGGCATGTCCTCCGAAAACAGCCACAAGAGAAGACTTTCACAGTTAGTTTTCAATCATTTCATGTCCTCCGAAAACAGCCACAAGAAAAGACTTTCACAGTTAGTTTTCGATCATGGCACGATGTCAAACTCCTAAAGAAAACCTTCCTCTTCCACCTCTCCCCCGGTTCTCAAAATATTTTTTTTGCATGTAATGTCATTTAAATATTTCATTCTCATCTATTCATAGATTTTAAGCCAGTAAATAAGCCACTCTTGAATGTAAGATTATGTCAACTAAAATCTAAGGAAATTGGTTCTCTATATCATGAAAATAAAAAGATATTCCCTCCCTCGCTCCCGCTTTTCTTCCTCTTGGTTTGTGGTTAATATCAAAAGCCAATAAAAGTAGGAAAAATAGTCAATCAACCAGCCTTCACTTTGGAATACCTCGTTAGGCTAATAATTGTCCAAAACAGTGAATTTATTGTTTGGAAGACAACTCAGTACTACCGGAGAGAATTATAGCAGACAGAAGGGAATGGAGCATCAGTGAGTTTGTCCCCAATTCCCTATAACTCTTACATCAAAACCTTGAATTATTTTATGAGCACTTGGTTGCTTGATCACTTGGGTTTTGGACACATCAATCAATTATCTACCTACAAATCATTCCATCATAGAGATTGATAACTAATTCAATTTCCATCATTAAAGATGCTTCTTCAGTTATCCGTTTAAATTTTCAACAAACTTTATCATATCCTCCATTACCACGACTTCAACAATTGGTATTCTAGAACCATATACGCATAGCAATTTTCAAACTCCCTCGATTGCATCTTTGTTCTTCCATTACAACGGACTTTTATTAACAAATCCATCACCAGAATTGAATATAAAACAAGAAAGAAATTCCACAAAACCGCAATAACTAAAGAAGATGATGTAAACGTTTTAAAAAATAATACAAAAAGTTCAACTGAGACAAACCTGGGTGGTCTTGCCACTCCCAGTTTCCCCGACAAGAATAAGGGTCTGGTTGTCACGGAGAACTTGAAGGAACTCATCTTTCTGCTGCCACACGGGAAGTGTCTTCCTCTTTTCGAGGATATCGAAGAACCTTTGTGAGTATGTCCGTCCGGTCCATCGGTTTATCGTCGCCGGCAGAAGCGCTGCCGCAGCGCCACCAGCTAACGAGCCGTTAATCCGAGACATCTTCGCCGAGACCGCTGCTTCGTCCACGACGTCGAAGAGGCTGACCTTGCGCTTCCTCTCCGTGGACATGGCGTATGCTTCTCTGGATTTGGAGACGGATAATCAAACCCTAGTTTCGGCCAGAGCATATACTTATAGCTCTTCACGTGGATCTCTTCCACGGAGGATTAGGGGTGTGAGTCAAGCCGACTCCTGGCCGGGTTCAAGTTCGGCTCAATGAGCTAACAAGACAGCTTCAAACTAATCATAAAAAATATAATATAATATAAATTTAATATATTAATTTAAATATTTTTAAAGTATTAAAAATAATAGTTAATATTTTATAATAAATTTAATATATTAATTTAAATATTTTTTTTAAAGTATTAAAAATAATAGTTAATATTTTATATTAAATAATTTTTTATTATTTCTCTCAAAATTATTCATGTTATTTTATTATACCACTATTTTAAATTAATATAAATTTTTTTCTTTTTTATAAATAAAAAACTAGCTCGTGAGTCTGTTAGAACTCGTTGACTCGAGCTAGATCTTAATAAAATTAATTAAGCTCAAGCCGATCCACTCGACTCTTTTGCATCCTATGGGGATTTGGTTCTAACATATGTGTGACTTAAGAAAAAATAAATAAGGGGCATTTTCTTGCATATCACCTAATTCTTATGTATTGAAATGTCTACCACCTATATTTTATTTTATTTATTATGCCACTCAAATCTCTTATATATATAAAAATATCACAATTTTGATTCCTAAAAAATGGAGTATATTCTTTTTCAAGCATAATTAAATTTGCATATATGAAAAAAATAAAATTTAGATGTTAGATCGATAAATACATAAGAATGAGTGATATGTATGTAAATCTATCAATAAATAAATGATAAAAATATTGATTAATTCTACAATCCCATTAAAATATAACATTAAAAAATCTTTGTGATTTCTTATTAATAATTATGATTTTTTTTCTTAGTTTTAGTGAATTATTATGGAGTTGTTATATGTATAGGAGATATAGTTACGCTACATTTTAATATATTTTTGATAAAATATGAAATATGAATAAAATTAGCAACCGTGTAAATTGTTAAAAACATAAGACTCCGTGTAAATTAATGCATGTTTTGATGATTGAATAAATAAATAACACGATAAAAAAGAAATAAATACGAATGGCGACAAACAAATGAAAAAATAACTATTAAGTGTTCAATTCTTCAATTCATTTGTTGCTCGAATATTAATAATTAAATACTATTTTGTATATTTTATTATCAACTTCATCAATTTATTATAATCATTAATAAGGGATGGACGTGTTAAGTCGTATTAGTTATAAAAGAAAAGTCTATTTTGATTCAACCATTATTTGTATCGTATACGTTATTTTTCATTTTATTTTATATGTATTTGCAGGTTTGAAATCATAATTTAGCAAGAATGGAGCATAGGAGCTACATGCCCATCAGGCGCCCCAATTTCATTCCGATGTGGCTGAGCGCTAGAAATCAGCATGAATGGTGTCCCGACACCCAATTATAGTGCATTGGTGCCCAATACCTTCCTCGCACTACAAGAGAATAAAGTTGGAAGAAATTTGGTGTCTCGTTTCTAACGCCCATGCACCCCATTTTAATCACCCAAGTGCCCGAGTCAAGCATCAGATAAGACCTCCATGCGTCCATAATACAAAATGGTGGGAAAGTTTGTGCCCAAGCTGGTCTTAGGCGCTCCGTTCAAGCAGTGACCAATGCACATCAAGACGCCAAAGGAGAAAAACCTAATGAGTGTTCTAGCACCAGCCCAAGCGCCTAAACACCCGGTGACGTGTTCTGGCAATTTTTGCAGTTTCATGGCATGAAGAAGATATTTAAGTAGAGTTGTTATCATTCAAAGTATGGCGCTGAGGGAGAAGTCAGAGATATCACGAGATAAAACCAGGGAATGAGTGAAGAGTGTCATCGGAGAACTTAAGGAATGGTCAGAGAACTTTAGTGTAAGAGTTCGTGAGAGTGTTGTGAGCATGAGAGAGTGTTCTCCTAAATGAGACGAGAGTTGAAGAGTGAGATCAAGCGTATTATGTACTCGAAATGGGTGTAAATACATTGGATTCTTTGTAAAATGATTATATTTTAGTGGAGGGTCTTGGCGAGACTATTCTAAATTATATTTGCTTAGGATTTGAAATGTTTGTTCATCTTTAATTAGTAGGAACTAGATATCCTACCTCTTATATTAATAATTTATTCATGTTGGTATTACTTATGTATTGTGATTAATATATTGATTGTAACACATTGATATGATAACATTTTGCATGTTATTTACTTCAAAATTAGTGACTTAAGAATGTTAAAATGAATTGTGATATATTTTCATGGAAGTGAACTGCTGGAATAGTTAAGTTAACACTAAAGTAATGGAATCACGTAGACGAACACACAACTACTAGGGTTTCTACATGGTTTATAAAACTAAAATCTAATATGAAATCCTAAGGCTTTTAATGACCTCAAAAGATGCTCAAGAGCATTGCTGTTCTTGCTTGTCAACAATATTTGGATCACGTGGATAAAGCTACATTGTTACATCTAATTCAAAGAAGGCATTCCCACTTGATAAAAATTTTAAGCTTAGTTCATAAGATTAAACTATTTATAAAAATAGTTTTAGTCACTCTAACAAATTTATAAACGTGACACTTCAAATTAAATGTAAGACTAGTAAACTAAAACATTATCCTGTTGTGATAATTAACTAGTTCCCCGTGGCATCAATACACATATTCAAATTCATGTATTACTTGAGCGACAAGTACACTTTTGTGGTTGTCTTGTGCTTCACAGTATATTGGGCATCAAATTTTTAGCATTGTTGCTGAATGCGATACGATATTAAATTTCTATTTTAGAATAATTTTTGTTGAACCTTCGAAGTTTAGGTTGAAAATCGTAGAATAACTATTGACGTATATTTTGTTGTGCATTTCTTATTATAAGCCAGCACGTCAGGGGTTATTTTATCGATTTTTAATTATTTTTTCTATGTCGATTTAAAAAATAAATTTAGGAAGGCTATTTTAAAAAAAATCGCCTCTCACATTGTACCCAATTGGAACATCGTTCCCGCCAAATAACCGACTCAAAGACACAACTCTAAACCCTAACGATTAGCTGCACTTCCAGGTGAGATTGAACTTCTAATCCTCCTTTTGTTGCTCATGGAATCTTCTCAAGGGAGGTGGCCACCACTCCGCCCTCATGGCGGCAGCGGAGCCGCTGTCGAGGAAGAAGACGCCTTTCTAGGGTTTGTGGCGCACGCTAGGTCGATTCTCTTCCCGGACGACAACCTGCTGGAAGACCGGGGATGCGCAGAGGACTCTCGCGTGCCGTCATGGAGCTGGGTTGTCTCCCGTATCCTCAAAACCTGCATCGCATACCCTAGCGGAGTCACCCCCGGAATTCTTCTATCCGAGATCTTCCTGGTAATCTCTCCATTCCCGAAACCCCATCTTCGATCACTTTAAACTACAGCTACTAGGGATCGTATATATTGATCTGTGTAGGTGCTAGGGTATGGTGAAAGCTCTGATTCTTGAGTTAATGGGGCTTTTGATTCTTTTTGACAGGCTTGGTGCGAGCAGCGGAGGTTTTTGACCTCAAAAAAGAATATGGAATGGATGGCTCCATTGAAGAGGCGGCGCAGGAGAACAAGGCTTCCGAACACAGTCACCATCGATTCAATTTTTGAGAAGAATTTTCTCTCTCCAACCAGCTGCATTGAAGCGGCTATTTTGTTATTGTGCTTTCGTTTCTTCTCCCAGGTACCTCAAAACCTGTCATTCCTTCTCGTACTTATACACTCACCGCCTCTATTTCCAACAGAGCATGCAAAAGGTGTGCCTTAACTTCTGTTTTAGGATAGAAACAATTTTCATACAACAATGCTCTGTTTTTTTTTTTCATCTTCCAGCAGTTACAAAGACTTAAAATTTATTTTGGATGAATCTTGTGAAGATTCACTATGATTGGGGAGCAAAACAACGTTGCCTTGAACTGAAAGCAGTTAAAAATATTGATTCTTCTTTTGTTCCAACTTTAATTTTAGAGTTGTCATCTTGTTCAACCATGGAGGAGTGGCTAACAGTGTTTTAGTCTGCTTAATGATCAGTAGTTGAATTTGCAGTGAAAGAGGAAGGGACTTTTGAGCTTAAACTTCATTTGATCCTACTTACAAGGTGGAAAACAATTTTACTCGTGACATATAGTTAAATATATTGAAGTTTAATGTGATTATATTACTAGTTTGCATAGATCCTCTTTACAAAAGTTTAAATTTAAAGAATGAACCAACCAACTTGGTGGGATCCGTGCATGTGTTTTAATCCCACCAATTCTCGTTCATTGTATAGTGTGTATTCTTATATTCTCTAGTATTTACTTATAGGAATATTTTGTAGATATTAAAAAAAATCTACACTTAAGTTTGATTGTCATTCTGCATGCATTGTAACTTGCTTATTTACTTCTATAATCATTTGGAAATTACATGGATTTATATATTACTTTGAGATCTAGAGATAAATTTATTCATCCATTCCCCATAAGTTTCTTAAATAACATCCTTTACCTAATCTCTATAAGTTTGTTACCCACCACCTTCTACTTAACCTTTTCATTTTATGTTTTCTAGCTACATTCACTTAATATTTATAACCTTGATATCTACCTTATTCAAGCATTATACAAAGAAATTGTTGCATGGTGCTGAAAACCATCCCGCAGTCGCAAGCAAATAAATGAGAGAGAGGGAGGGAGATAGAGATTCTGAAGCCTTAAGCCATGTAACAAGGAAATGAAGACAGAAGAAGCTCTTTTAGTAAAGAAGGGAAAACAATAATAACAACATTATCAATGCATTCTTCTACATGCCTAATACTCATCTTCTTAGTAGGTGTGTTATCCCATAATCATTACATAGATAAATTGTTTCTCTATCCCTATCTTCAAATTAATCAAAGATAAATGCTTGTTATACTCTTTTGTTATATTTGATCTCTCTGCAGTCATGGAGAAAGGCAGATCTTATTAAGCAAGCCCACACAAACTTGCTTTATGATTGTGTATTTTGTTTGTTCTTTGTATTCATTTTGCTTGTAACTTTTATGCGTAGTCATGTCCATGAGTTGTGAAGCTTCATATTTGCTATCTAATCAATGCCAAATATGGTAGGGAAAATGACCATTTACATTTAACCACAAAACAAATCAAGTTATTTTCCTGTTTATATGATATGAATTGGAATTTGAGAAGAGCTTCCATAGCACAATCAAGAAGACAAAAACAAAAATGCATGGTGCATGAGAGAAAAGGCGTCAATAGTTTTCTAGCCATTCAATTGCATTGTGCGGAATTGTTTTCACTGGTTTATAAAAGTTCTATTACAATTTGTGATCTTCACTGTTCTTATATATATTTGTTTTTTATCTATATTCTTATTGATTTCAATTCAAATGTGGGCTAATAATAAGAAGTCTAAACATACTGCTAGTTAAAGTGCTAAATATCTAATTAAAATTTGTACATGTCATATGATCAGGCACAGACATATATATGCTTACTTTGGGGGATCTATGGAGCTCTTGCACCATTGATCTATATCTACATCGCAGGTAGAAGCTCTAACCTGCTTTTGCTCAAATCTATAAATATATTTTATATTAAAAGTTAATAATTAGGGTGGGTGCAAGAAATTTCTTTTAGTTGGCGCAGAAACTATGATTTCAAAAAGTACTCATGTTTCATTCGGACTAAATTTGATTGTTTTAAGAATTTTTTTTGTTCTAGTTTTGATGTAAAAGGCATAAACATGTACTGATATAAAAAAAAAAAAGTGTTATTTATAATTTCTCCTTTTGAGTTTTCATACATATTAATTTATGCAATATTGTAAAAATTTTTCTTTTCCATTGAATTTGATTTTTTGTCCTCTTTCAAAGTTTTTCGTCAGCTTATGTGAAATTAAAATATTTTAGAAAACCTAAAATTGAAATAAATGATTTTGCTCGACTTTTGTTGACATTGCATATAGAACATGAGAATGAAAGGGGCCTTCTTTTTTTTCCCCCCTAGGATTTGTCATTTCCCATACACACGCCACACAATTACACTTCAATAAAAAAAGAAAAGGCATCCCACATCAGTATACGCTAGCAAGCCAAAAGCTTTAATGGGCCTTTTCACGCATGGCAACAAGCCCTTACGCAACTTTGCCATCGGGCTTCCACGAATAGCCCTGCTACATTGTGACTAGTGTTTAAGGGTTTGTAATGATATTTATATTAAAAGAAAAAAGAAACTAATGTTAGTGTACCGGGTACTTCTGCCTCTTTTGATAATGTCATCACCTGTATAAACTTCTCAAGGAATCCTATATTTTATGTGCACCTTAAAAATTCAAAATTCACTAAAAAATTATTGTTGTGTCAATTGTTATATTTAAATGTTATACCTAGAGGGTTAATCTACTCTCCGCATATATCTATAGTTAGGAAAATTTACATCCATTCCACTCAACTCTTATGTATTTACATATCCAACACCTAAACTTCATTTTTTACATATATGCCACCTTACCTATGCATGGAAAATTGGTATTTCACTTTTTAAAAGTTAATATAGTGGTATTTTTTATGTGATATGATATATTTGGGCGGCATAAATGTAAAATTTAAAGTGTTAGATATGTAAATAGCTAGGAATTGGGAGTTACGTATGTAAATGCGCCATATATAATAATAACATTTACTTGTTGAAAAGTTGTCCTGCTTTCCAGATACTACCATCTAGTTGAATCGGATGGTGGGATTTTGAAGAGAGGACGGGAGATCCTCCTTACAGGATGCAGTCTAAGGTTGGCCATGGAAGGATCTGGTCATCATCGTCTTTTGCCGACGGAGTATTTGGTGATATTGTTAGATGAGGTAATGTGTGCAGCTCTAGCATGCTCTGATGCATACATTTGGTTTTTGATTATGGGAAATTTACATACCTAGCACACTATTATTATGTATTTACATATCTCACACCTAAACTTTCATATTTCATATATCACTTTGGTCATTTAAACCTATGGATGAAAAGTTATATTTTACATTTAGAAAGTAGTAATTATGCTATTTTTGATGTGGAAGTAAAGATTTGATTGCTGTCTGTGTAAATATGTAAGTTTATGTTTGGGATATTTAAATACATAAGCATATTGTGCTATGTATGTAAATATGCCTTTAATTTACTTAAATTCTTTTAACAAATGGCGTTTGTCTGGCTTGTCACCATCAAATTTCTACAATGTTTTAAGATTGGGGCATTTACATACATACCACACAATTCTTGTATATTTACATATCTATCACCTGAACATTCATATTTGCATGCATACCCAATGGTGGAGCCATAAATTTTTCAAAGAGGAGTCACAAAATATATTTTTTGAAAATTCTATCAACATTTTTCATCCATGCTTGAGAATGGACCAATAGATATCTGCCATGTGAACGGAAGACAATTTTAAGAAAAGATGGGAGTTGGACTGATACATTCAAGCTAATCCAAGATTTCCTCTATTCTGAATACTCTCGGTTTGGGTTGTCTAGGTGTACACAGTTGTTGGACTATTTTTGTTTTTTGTATATTTGGTATTTCATTAAGCGTTCTTATAAATTAACTCTAATTTTTTTAAGCCAATTCAAGCATTACCCAAATTTGGTGCATTTGGGCTAAGCTTGGTCCATCTAGTGTTAAGTATATTTGGTTAAGCCTCTGGAATTCCTTAAGAAGCCTTTAACTATATTTCTAAGGGATTAGTTTCAGTTCCAGGTGACTTAATTTAGAGTTTGTTTGGTTTCAAGTTTGGCTTATTATGGTTTCATTTGATTTGAGTTTAGGTTAGCCCATTTTAGGAAGGTTTGAGTATTCTTTGTTGAGCAAAGTGGCAAAATAGTCCCTTGACTAACATGGAGCTATTTTAGTCCCAAAGTTTATAGAAGTGCCAATTGGTCCCTAGACTCTTTAAATTGGGGCTCTAATAGTGCCAAATTGGTCCCCAAACTCTTTAAATTGGAGCTCTAATAGGGACTAACTTGAACTCAAATCAAAAAAATTTAAAACGCTAACCTAAACTCTTTAAATTGGGGCTTTTATAAATTTACTCTATTTTTTGTAAGCCAATTCAAGAATTAATCAAATTTGGTGCATTTGGGCTAAGCAGGTTTGAATATATATACCAAATAATTTAAAATACTGAAGTGCTCATACTGTATAAAACATGCTGCAAATTGGAATTTTCTGACTGTATTTTTTTTTTTGGCCATTAGTACATTCAAATATTTGTTGGAAATTTACATTTCTAGCAAACAATCCTTATGTATTTACTTATCTCACAGCTAAACTTTAATATTTACAAACATAGCGTTTTATGCTTTAAATCTATTCATGAAAATGTGTATTTCACTTTTGACAAGTAGTAATAATGCTATTTTTTATGTGATATTAAATATTTGAGTGCTATGTGTGTAAATATAGAAGTTTAGGTGTGAGATAGGTAAATACATTAGAATTGTTTGCTATGTATTTAAATGCCCCAATATTTTTTTGTAGAAGAAATATTGAAACTAAAAGTTCTTTAAAGCAGGATCAAGATGAAGATGCCATGTTATTGGGTGCGCGGTTTTGCACAGATTCTTTCTCCAGCATCACGCATGATGCAGTTAAAAATGCTGCTGCATTTTATTTTTATGCAAGGTAAGTTGTTTTAGATTAGCAAGCAGCTCACAAGTCTCAAAAAGTGATGTTCAAGTTATTAACTTTGGCTTGCCTCTACCATCCTTTTAAGGAGCAAAAACATCTCTTTTATACGTTAGATTTTGATATAGGTCTGCTCTTTGAAGGTTCCACTAGTTAAATTACCAGATTTATCTAAATTTAATTCATTCACCTGTTTAACTACATTTAATAATGCATATTTGCCTTTAAATTCTTGCATGCTGAATCTATTGCCTTTTAGCTCATATTGATGTTATTAATTTTTGAAATCTTTTATCCATTATTGGCATTATAAGCAAAAATAAACATTTGATAAATTTGGGAAAATTACATATGTAACACACAATTCTTTTGTATTTACATATCACATACCTAAACTTTCATATTTACATACATATCAATTCAGTGCTTTAAACCTAAGTATGAAAAGGTTTTTTTAACTTTTAAACAGTGGTAATAGTGCTATTTTTAATGTGATAATAAGGATTTGAGTGCTATGTGTGTAAATATGAAAGTTTAGATGCGGGATAGTAAGTACATAAGGATTGTGTGCTATTTATGTAAATGCCCCATTAATTTTTTATATCCATTATCCATTACTGGCCTTATCAGCAAAAGTAAACATGTTCTACTCATTGACAGTTCTAATTGATCATAGGCAGCCATTATGGCAAGGATTCAACATAAAAACTGCAAAGATATTCATTCCCCATGCTTTTACTAGAAACTTCCTAGCAATGACACGTTATTGGTTGAAGTGCTTCTTATTTTGGCGCACATGTAAAATATTGCTTTATGAGCACACAAATAGTTTTTAAACTTTGAATGGATGTTCTCCTCATCAAGAAAGAGATTAACCATTTTGTAGTTATTGTCACCGGATTGGACCATCACTATTGTTCCCTTCAGAGAATGTCAGTTATTGCATGCATTGTATTATTATAAGAGAGATGGAAAACCTGATCGAAATTTGAAATAATATTAGGACCATACTATGTATATCTATTAGAACAATCTAGTCTTTTTATTATTGTTGTTGATGAGAGTTCAACAACTGCGTGGTAACATAGAGTGATCTTAGTGGATAATTTGGAAAAGTGAGGGACATAAGTCAGGCTTTCTCAAATTCTAAAGGGAGGGTTTTGAATATTGGTACCTCCTGAAAACTCAAGAAAGTTGTCAATGGTGGCAACTTTTTTAGTGAGATGAAAAATATCAACTTGTGATCAGGAAGGGGTATACTCCGATAATATGAGACACAAGGAAGGGATTAATCTCAACTCATGAAATGTCATGACCCGACTTGAGGGCTTGAAATTTCCAAAGCGGTAACGGACGGTCGGACGGTGAAATTTAATATTTTCTATTCATTTTCCATCAATAACAATTTACAATTAAAATATTAATGGAAAGAACTAGTAAAGAAAACAATTTAATTAATAAGTAAAATTTTACCTTTATATCTTCTAACATGGCCTTATGTACACATCCTCTCATATAGTGTTCATTTTTTATTTAAAAGCTTGAACCTCAAAAAAAATAAACTAACATAATGAGTTATATAAGACAATCTAGTGGAACAATTACACTTTAGTGACCCGCAAAAAAAGGAGACAATATGTATGTTGGCATTTTCTTAAATAGTTTAGAAAATCATATAATAATTTAAATCATAAATCTATGATATTTATTCATGGAAGAAATCTAAATATGCTCATGGAAGAAATTTAAATATTTCTACATGCATCAGCTTTTAGTTTATTTTTTAATATTTGATCTTTAACTTTATTATACTTTATATTTTTTAACTTTCACATTCTTTTCAGGAGTATCGTCTAAATATAGTTGAACACACCATTGATCGATATTCTTTCGTCGGCATAGCGGTCCGTGATCTAAATTACATGATTGTCTTAGGTGAAAATGTGCCTTCTCACTTCAGGTTGATACTATCCTTTCAACACAGTGTTTAGTGATCTAAATATCACAATTGTCTGAGATGGTAAGAATACATTTATGCCCACGGGTACACTGACATCCCCAGTCAGTAGCATGAGAGGGTGAATTTCTCAACTCAACATGCACATACAAACATTCATGTGTTAATATTTTCATACTTCATAGCATATATTAATTTTCTTATGCAACACTTTGCATTCATCTACTAATGAACAAATACACATTTACTAGAATTTAAATGACATCCAATAATCTAATAACTTCATAGGTAAACTATTATGCAAATGTTTTTGCAGAATTATCAACATGCATGTGTCTAACTTAACAATATGAAGACATCATTGGTAGTTTAATTCTTAGTGAAGTAAATCATAAATTTGAAAAAATAATATAAAAAATGTAATCAAGAAGTAAGAAATACTACTGTAATGTAGAAATATAATTCTCATCTTAAGCTTGCTTATTTCTTTCTCCTTAAAATCTTCATTTCTATTGTATAGTCCCTATCTGATCTTCCTTGTCCTTGAATTTGATTGCTCGCACAATCTTAATCGCTAGTTTTTGATTTATAAACTTGAATGTTAACTTAATAACATTAAATAAAAATTATTTATATAAATAAAACACCAAATCCTTTGATTAGTCCCCGTATTCAAATATAAAAATCCTTCCACTTCCGCTTCTTGCTTCCTCTGATTCCGATCAATACAACCCTTCCTTCAAAATTTTAATGCTCGCTGATTCAAATCATAACAATATTTACCTTATTAAAAAAATGAAACGATAGTGATGGGGCTTGAAAATTCAATGCCCCGGGTCGACATTAAATAAACCTAAAAAGTCAAATTTAAGTAAAATTGATTTGTATTTGAGAGAAAAAAGATTAATATGCAAATAATCATAAACAAAACATATAGGAAAAATTAAAAATTCATTGCATCAATTGTCTTCAATAATAATTCAGCAAGAAAAACTAAATACCAACTAATGAAATAAAATAAAAGAATAAACCAAAAAGTAGTAACTAACCCGAAATTAAATATATATCTAAGCTAGAGCTGTGGTTGAAACATAAATAACAAATTAATAAAAAAACTACTATTGAAAGGTTTGCTTTTGTAGCGACTATCCACCAAGCCACCGCCTTGTAGGGAATATTAAAAGAAGTTTTGCCATGAATGAGTTTGACAATTAAACTCAATAAATAACTTCCATTTTTATAGTGTAAATGACAAGACATGAGGTATGCATTGCAAACAATAATACTGGCACCATTTATAACGTAGCGAGTGTAATGAATATCATCAAATCATCATGTTCGAATATTGCATAGTATGAATAATTAAAAGTGTCAGGGGCTCTTGTTTTTCCATGAATAAGTTTGAGAATTAAACTCAATAAATAACTTCCATTTATTATAGTGTAAATGACAAGACATGAGGTATGCATTGCAAACAATAATAGTGGCACCATTTATAACGTAGTATGTGTAATGAATATCATCAAATCATCATGTTCGAATATTGCATAGTATGAATGATTAAAAGTGTCAGGGGCTCTTGGATGATTTATAATATGGTGACGTTCATTTGTGGTAAAAAAAAACATTTATGTACTAATATATCCAAATGCAGCCATATGAAGCATATTCATATATGCCTGAAGAAAAATTTATAAATCATTTCTCATAATTTCTTTATAGATTTATTTGTATCTATAGTAGGTTTACTAAAACAAATTGAATCAAGAAGGTTTTAATGAACTCATGAAAAGCTCTATAAGTTTCTAGAAACTTTTAGAATAAGGATCGTTTAATCAAATTATTCTCAATGTGATATTGGAAGATTCAGGATTAAGGAGATACACACAATATTATTCAAATTATATGATGGGTATAAATGGTTTTTATCTTAAAGAATGTAGCTTTTTTTTCCTTATGATGACTCCTTAAATCCTAGATATGACACTTACGGGAATTTACAGGATGGTGCTTACCTTGAAGATTGTACTTGGAGTGTTTTTAGAAAAACCACCTTTTCCACACTAACTATTTATCATTTTCTTTTTATTTCTCACTGAATGTAATTTCTGTTTTTCTTATAAAAAAATTCGAGGTTTCTTGCTTTCTCTTTTTGTTGGTCCCCGAGTTCTTTCACCACTCCTCAACACTGTTATCCATGCAATCTAGTCATCAACTATCATTCAATTGTCCCAGCCATTAGATTCATTGCTAATCTCATTGTTATTGTAGGAAAATGTATTAACCCAACACCCGTCCAAGTTTTATGGTGTTTTTATTTTATGTATTATAGCTCCTCCATGACACTAATTTGTATACATGAATTTTTGATTGTTGTGGTGATGACATATGCTTGCCATGCATTTTTTAAGGATGTTGCTCACCAAACATTCATATTTATAGTTAGCTTATGTAGAAACTTGTGTGATCTAATGGTCTAAGTTATAATATGATTAGTTATTTGATACAATTAAACTTCTTCGCTTCCTTTGATATTCATTGTCACATTTCTTGACAACTTGCTTAAATCAATGCGAAACAGAATAAAGACCTCTTAAAATTTGAATTAATTTCAAATATTAATCAAGAGTACTTGCCCTAGTACTTGGTTTTTCTTATGGGACTAGTGGTGCAAATGAAACTAATGGTGATAAAAATTGCATCTTCATTTTTATCATCTAAAATTGTATTATACTTCTTGATATAATAGCAATATAATCTAGTTTTGCCGACACATTTGCTGCTCTTAGAGTACCGCCCTTAGTCGGTGCAACATTTTTAGAAATTTCAATTATTTTGTTATGTTTAGGGCTTGTTGAAAAATAACCTTTAAAAATAATTTTGACTTAATTTTAAGCATATCATACACATTTTTAGAAATTTCAATTATTTTACATAGGCACGAATAGTATTTGGAAGTGTTTGCGCCTTCTAAAGGAAAAATAATCTTTGGAGTAGAGGTTGTTCTGATAATGATTTCTTTTTACTGATATCATTTTAATGTAATCACTTCCTTATGTCAAATGATGCTCAATCAGTGCTAAAGCTTAATTTCCTTTTGAAATAATTTTGACTTAATCTTAAGTGCATTGGACACTTTCTGTGGTTTGTTGAAGACGTGTATGTGTTTGACACAAGCACAAAAAGTATTTGGAGTGTACATGCTTTCTAGAGGAAGAGTAAACTTTGGAGTGGAGGTTGTTCTGAGAAATATATCTTTGTACTGATATCATTTTAGTGTAATCATTTATGCTGTTATGTTTAACTGTATAGGTTTTGACTTTTGATGATTTACATGATCATGATTTTGTGCATTTATTCTTTGTATTGTAAAGACTACGATCAATGTAAATGAAAATGATGTTTACTCTATCGTTGTATATTAATTATGTAATGGTTCAGTAACTCTGTGTTTCTGGATGGGAATATTTAATCATATCCAATTGATAATGCTTTTAGATGGGAATAATGATTTTGAAGTTATAAATGTATATTATATTATAAATGAGTTGTTGTCCTTATCTGCATCTCCCCAATTTGGTGTAATTTGTTACGATGTCAAGGCTACATTGAGTTAGTATGTGATGAGAAGCAGCATGTAATGACTAGGAGGAATTGAATTGTGCACCAAGCCTTCGAAAAATATTTAGAATCATGACAGAGAGTGGGTAGACATCAGGATTTGCTTTTGCAATATAAGTAATTATTTTTATGTATCATTTGTATAATTATTTATTATGTGTTGGGTTGAGATCATATGACACACCAATAATAGGATCGGACCACTGGTGGGAGTTCTAGATAGGTTTTATTGCAAGATGAGCCATAGAATGAGGCTACCAAAAAGAAATGGTGGCATAATTGCTTAGTGATGGGTACAGTATGACGAGTATAAAGAGTAAGAAATGGATAATACGTTAAACTCTTTTAGAGTATGAAGCCACCCTAATTCAAGGATTTTGTAAAGCCACAAAAGATTGATTATTAGCTTCTATGAGTGGAAAATATATTTGATGGTAGCAAGTGCCTAAAAGGCATGAATGCTCCATTTGCTGTATTTGTGCTAGAGGGTGAGTCAGAGCATTTATGGTTGGGACAACATGAATATAAATTTTAAGGAAGATCAAGGGTGCATTTTGGGGGGCGGTGCATGCTGCACCACAATTTTTTTGTTTGACAAAAAAACATTTTGTTAGCTTTTTGCAACTGAAAGTTTTGTTTTGTCACCAGACCTAGCTAAGTACACTGGCTGCTAGAATGTTGCGGCATGAATTTTTCAAAAAAAAAATTGTAGTATCCACTGCAATTTTTTGATCAACAGTTTTTTCTGCAGCAGTTTCACAATTGCTTCTTTAAACAACTGCAACTATCCCAAAAAGACCCAAAATTCCATGAGCTTAGGGAATTTCATCAGTTTTTTGAAATTGTTTTGTACTACCTTCAGCTTGGCAGCAATTGCAGGAGTCTTTCTCAATGTTGATGTAGGGAGGAATGATAGTGATGCAATAGGAGGTTGATTTCACAAAATTGATGAGATACTCAGCTCGCTTGATCAACAATTTGAAGGAGAAGTTCTATTGGTTTTTGAGAGGGTTGAAAGATAATCTCAGACAACCATTGATTCCATTTAGGATAAAGAAGGTTTCCAAGCTAGTAGAAAGGGCAAAACTGATTAAGAATTATACGACCACTGTTCAATAAAAGTGGGATGTTAGCAAGATAAACATGAATGGAGATA